CAAAGCAGCTTGAACTTCTGCCTTCATCACCATAGGCTCTGGCTCAAATGCTGTTTCATTAAATTCTTCTGTATCTGCCAATTCCTTTTGATACAGTGACTCAGTATATTCCTTCCATCATCTTTTGATAAATCCTACAATCAGAAATAAAGGATCTTCACAGACTTTCTGTTATTGTTAAGTGCCATCAAGTCAGAAATGACTCACACATGACCTTCCAGTGGGTTTTCAGAGGCTGTAAATCACAGGGCAGGAGGTTTTCCACCTTTATCTCACAGAACAGCTTGCAGATTCAGATGGCATGCCCATAAATTGGCAGTGCAACAACGAAATACTTTACTCCTATGAATTTGGTAATGGGAACTCTAGTTACCTAGTAGTAAGGAACTGGCTAAGTAGAGCTCCCATCACCAAATACATATGAGTAAAGTATTTAGTTGTGGAATTAATGAGAGAGTTCCCAGAAGAGATCATCTCTGCCCTATTCTTGCCAGATAAGTATGAATTAGCTAGATACATCTATGGTGAAATCAATTCCTTTACATGGCTTTTTGTCTTGGTTGTTTGAAAATGTATATTGGGAGATTGGTTTTCACGTACAACCAGAAAAGTTGCTTTTGCCCTTGTTCTTACCTGCTTTGTGCAGTCAACCAACCCATAGCTGACCCTCCAGTGGGTTTTCAAAGACAGTAAGTTGCCTGGGAGGAGATTGCACATATTTCTTCTACAGAGCAGCTGGTATATCTGAACCATATACCTTTGCTTTGATAATGTAAGTTTTTACAGCTAAGCCACCAGCACTCCCTCATTGAGGGAGTTGTTGTTGTTGTTGTTGTTATGTGCTGTCGAGTCGCCTGCGACTCATAGCGACCCTATGTACAACAGCCCTAAACTCCGCTCTGTCCTGTGCCAATTGCACTGTCTCTGACACTCCCATCCCAATTATCCCAGTCACTGAATCAATCCACCTCATAGAGGGCCTTCCTCTCCTGCGCTGTCCCTCCACCCTCCCAAGCATGATGTCCCTCTCCAAGGACCGGTCTCTCCTCACAACATGTCCAAAGTATGTTAGACGGAGCCTCAGAATCCTTGCTTCCAAGGAGCCACCCGGTTTAACCCTTTCCAGGACAAATCTGTTTGTTTTCCTAGCAGTCCATGGTATTCTCAATACTCTTCTCCAGCACCACAGCTCAAAGGCATCAATTCTCCTTTCCCAGATTATTTTCTACACTGAGAATTTGGACAGAATTTCCTTAAGTTCTTTGACATTTACTGGCTAAGTTATGAACATCTTTATGGTTTAATACTTAATGGTTTAATACTTGTCTGCTCTTGAGCTGCAGTTTTCCCTTTGATTTACCTATTTTAAAGCCTGTGGAGATTGGTAAATTTAGTTTTAGATACTGGATTGCAGATTCAGCCAGGAGTATTGAGTGACTTGCACTCCACCAACAAGTGTGTTCAGTCAGCAATCCTGCTTGATGGGCAGTGTTTTGAAACTGACAAGGAGTTTGCTTATGTAAGCACAGAAGATTTTAGAGCCAAAAAAAAGAGAGGGAATTACAAGATCAAGAAAAGTCTATGGCAGGGCACTTTGGTTCCAGAGTTCCTGGAAGGGGAATAACGTATAATACAGGCCAGAGGTGAAATACACACCAGGAGCAATAATACTAATCCAATGAAAAAGGGTCCAGTGACAGAGAGCCTCAAAACCATGTGGCTGTGACCTTGACCAGTTAGTAGCAAAAAAGCTGATGGTAAGAGGACAAAGGCAGAGGGCCCGTGCATAACCAAGACTGCCCTGCAGGCATGGCTGAGACAAGCCAGCTAGCAGCAGAGAGCAGATGAGAATCATAGCCTAGTCTGAAGTTGTCTTTGACTGAAGAAGGGAAAGATACTTTGCAAGCTTCTGTGAGGGAAAACTTCCATATCTCTCCTTTTGCTTCCTGATCCTAATCCCAAATTTTAGCCTATTAACTTCTTGTTAATTCCTCTAGTAGATGACATAATTTTGGATGTGACTTTTCAGTTCAGAGTGGTCACTGCAACAAATTATCAAACCCAGTAGAGAAGTAGGAAATGCTGTGGATAAACAGCTGGTGTCAGAAATGGTGAAAAAGTTGGAAACTGTGGATTTATGTCTATAGAATGTAGGCATGTCCCTGTGACACTAAATTACAGCACTCCTCAGAGAATGTTTATTAAGCATGCTTAGTGAAAGAAACTAGTTACAAAGGACTATATGTTATATGTCTTAGTTTATATGAAATATACAGAATAATGCAATCTCAAGAGAGATTATGGTGTTGGCATAGAGTCCTGAGTATGCCTTGGACTACCTTAAAAGAACCAATCATACCTGTCTTGGAAGAAGTACAACCAGGGTGTCCTTAGAAGCAAGGTTGGTGAAATTTGGTCTCATATGCTTTGGGCTTGTTCACAAGGGTCCAGTCGTTAGACAAAGACATTATGCTTGGAAAAGTGGAGGGTTGGTAAATGAGAGCGAGGAAGACCCTTAGCAAGATGGGTTGGCACAATGATTGCAACAGTAGACTTGAGTGTGTTGGAGACCATAGGATAGCACAGGATCGGTGAAGGCAATCTACTGCTCATACGATTGTTTTCCATTGTAGTCAACTCATTGGCATCTTACAGCAAAACAGAGAGAGAGCTTAGATTGGTTGTCAGCTACGACTAGGGATTTCAAACACAGTTGACAGTGACTGCTCTTAAGAGATACAAGTTTTCTTTTGGAGGTTCTAAAATTTATTATAAATTTATTATAATAGTGTTTGTACACCTCTGCAACTATAATAAAAACCACCAAAGTGTACATATTGTAAGGGTAAATTATGTATTTCAATAAAACTGCATAGGAAAAAAAGGAAACACATATTAGGAAAATGGAAGCTCACAGAACACCTATCAATATTTGCTGTGTGTTAAACTTTAACTCAGATGCTAGAGATAGTGATTAATAAAATATGCTGTTTCTTCTGGCACTTATGGTCAAACATATTTGGGCAGGAAGCTTTGGAAGAATATATCTAGTTGAGATAGATACAAGTTAGTCTATAAAAATATACATTGTGCAACTAATGTTTTAATTAAAATTAATGATTTCTCATATATCATAGATTATATCAGCAAACAAAAAGGATGCTTTCATGTATATCTGAAGAAACAATTACAAATTAGGAAAATTATGTTATTTCTTTTTGTCTTCTTAAGCCAAATGGTGGTATTCCACATGATAATCTTGTTCTAATTAGAATGAAACCTGATGAAAATGGAAGATTTGGTTTCAATGTGAAGGTAATGTAAAATTTCTGTTCTATTCCATTTTCTCTGAATTACAACCTCCTTGCATAACGGTTGTCTCACTGCCTGACCTTGCTCTTCTTCAGGGAGGATGTGACCAGAAGATGCCTGTGATCGTGTCCCGAGTGGCACCAGGAACACCTGTGAGTTTTCTGAAATTTGCCAGGAGATCCTATTTTCACTTATATGTGCTTGTTCTATCATTTATTTTTTTTTAATAATTTTAATGAACATTTAGAGAGATTTTGGATTTCCATTCATTCATTCATTGCTGCACTTCTCTCGCCACCCAGCCCTTCTCCCCTCCTCCCCCCAGTTCGCTCCTCTCTTTCAAAAGTAAAAGAAACACTCCCTCCCTGGTACACAATCCCCCCACATCCCTCCCACCGCCCCAAGTACATTCCACTATGCAACCTTCATTTTTCTTTTTAAAAATAAAGAAGGTAATTTAATAATTGCTTTCCATTCGTTAAATATCAGGTTTGTAGGGCTTAACTCTATTAAAATTCTGAAAAGTAAGTTATTGCTTATTCTGTAGTTGTGGAGGCTTTTTGTTTGCTTTGTTTTGTGTTTGCCTTTGTTGGTTTGTTTAGGGGTTTTTAACTGTGATTTTAGGGAAAGTTTACAAAGCGTTTCATTTTTCCAGATAATCATTTGTACACATTCTGTTATTTACGTTCATTACAATTCCATAGTGTGGGAGTGTCCACTTATTTTGTGTTGTCTTTCTCTTCACCCACATTAATAAGCATTATTGATGAATTCATTTTCTGCATACCCCCCTTCTGCCTCCTTGGTAACCATGCTTATATAATTCTCTCTGTGGACACTTTCTTTTCATAATAGTAGTCTTATACAGTACCTGTCCGTTTGTGACTGATTTATTTCACTTAGCATAATATTCTGTAGATTTATCCATTTTATGTAAAGTTTCATAAATTGTTTTTCAAGTTGTATAATACTTCATTATGTGAATGTGTTGTTAAGTGCCATCGAGTCGCAGGCGACTCATAGCGACCCTATGAAGGAGAGTCCTCGACGCTTGGGTGCCTTTCATCCTCTCTCCAAGTTCATAGGGTTTCCAGAGGCAAGCTATTATGGAAGTGGACGCCAATCCTCCTTCCACGCTTGTTTAATCGGGAGCTCCACCCCACTCTCAGTCCGAATTGGGTAGCCAACCATTAACACATTTGACACATCCTTGTCACAGTGTTCAGCCTCACAGCAACCACAAGTGACTGCTGGACAGCAACTTGTACACCGGGGCTATACGACCTAGAGGAATATCTGAACAAAAACAGTGAAAGACTGCGGCCCTTGGGCACTTTTGGGCTTAAAGCCGCCGCTGCCTTCAACCCAAGGCTAAACGTGGCTTCCCTGGCTCCTGGAGGCAGAGTCGCCCTTCTCCAGAGACTGCCACAACACAACTCCCACATACACAGTACCATGCTCTCTGGCCAAAGGATCACAGCCACCCTGGGTAGGGCGAATCTGGGAGATTATGGCCGTCTCCTCTCTCCTCTTCTTCTCCCTTGGGGCTTAAAGCCGCCGCTGCCTTCAACCCAAGGCCAAGCGTGGCTTCCCTGGCTCCTGGAGGCAGAGTCGCCCCGCTCCAGAGACCGCCACAACACAACTCCCACGTACACAGCACCATGCTCTCTGGCCATGCTGTTGTAAACATGGGTGTACATATATCTCTTTGTGTTCTTATTTCTTTAAGATATATATCTGTTAGTGATTTGAATGGCATTTCGGTTTTCAGCTTTTTAAGGAAACATTTTTAAACTGTACGTCTTTCTTTAAACTGGTGATTGCACCATTTTACATTCCCACCAACAATGTGTGAGAGTTCCATTCTCTCCACACCCTCGGGAATACGTGTTCACCAGCTTAGTGGAGTTTGCTATGGTCTTTGGAGTGATGTGATTGCTCATTGTTGTTGTTTTATTCTTTTTTTTTTTTATTAATTTTAATGAAAGTTCACAGAGACTTAGGGTTTCCAGTCATTCGTTGTTGCACTTTTCTCCCTACCCACCCCTTCCCTCCCAACTCATTCTTCTCCTTGAAAAGTAAACAAAAAACTCTCATTGTTATGCAATCCCTGCACCCAAGTCCACTCTACTGTGCAGCCTTCATTCTGGACTTCTGTAGTGACAGTAATACCCAATCACATATCCCTTTTAAACAGTTCTCTCCCTCATCTTTTTCAATGCAGTATACATAATTCCTCACCTCCTTTTCTGTCTTCGCTCTACCGTGATGTCACACCCATTTTACAATAGTGACCCTATGCAATATTTGTCCTTTTGTCACTGAGATATATCACTCAGCATAATGTCCTCCATGGTCATCCATATTGCATAATATTTCATTAATTCCTTATTTTTCAGTACTGCATAGTATTCCACTGTGTGGATACACCAGAGCTTCTCTTTCCATTCGTTTGTTGATGGGCCATTGGGTTGTTTCCAGCTCTTTGCTATTGTGAACAAAGCCACAATAAACATGGCTATGCATATATCTGCTTGGATGGCAGTTGTTGTTTCTTTAGGGTAAATTCCCAGTAGTGGAATTGCTGGGTCAAATGGTATTTCTATTTGCAACTTTTTGAGAAAACGCCATATAGAATTCCATGGTGTTTGCAACATTTTACACTCCCACCAACAGTGAATAAGGGTTCCAGTTTCTCCACAACCTCGCCAGCATTTGATATTTGCTGCTCTGTTAAATTTTGCTATTCTTACTGGGGTGAGATGATATCTCATAGTTATCTTAATTTGCATCTCTCTTAGAGCTAGGGATTTTGAACATTTCTTCATGTGTTTGTTTGCCATCTGAATGTCTTCTTTGGTGAAGTGTCTGTTCATATCCTGTACCCATTTTTCAATTGGGTTATTAACCTTTACCTTGTTGTGATGCTCTAATATTTTATAAATTCTAGATATAAGTCCCTTATCAGACATGTCATTACCAAATATTTTTTCCACATCTGTGCCTCTCCTTTTAACCTGTTGGAGAAGGTTTTTGATGTGTCTAGGGATTTAAGTCTTAGAAGATCCCATTCATCTCTTTTATCCTCTCCTGGTTGTAGATTTTCCAAGGTGCTTGAAAGACTGTTTTTGTTGTGGAATAGAACTTCTAGAGTTCTCCCAAGCTTTTCTTTAATGAAGTTTATAGTCCTTGGTTTTAGTCCTAGGTCCATAATCCACTTTGAATTGGTTTTTGTGTATGGAGTGAGGTGTGGATCTTTTTTGAGTTTTTTGCAGAAAGTTTTCCAGTTTTGCCAGCACCATTTATTAAAATGGCTGTCGTTTTCCCACTTAACTGATTTCATCATCTCCTTGTCAAATATCAGTTGACCATGGGTAGATGGGCTGATTTCTGGATTCTCAGTTCTATTCCATTGATCTATGTGTCTGTCATTATACCAGTACCACGCTGTCTTGACCACCATGGCAGTGTAGTAGGATTTGAAATCAGGGAGTGAGTTGCCTCCTACCTTGTTTCTCTTTTTTAAGGAGTGATTTGCTTATTCTGGGCCTCTTTCCATGCCAAATTAAATTGGAGGTTACCTTTTCCATCTTGTTGCAGAATGCAATTGGTGTTTGTATTGGGATTGCATTGAAAGTGTAAATTGCCTTTAGTAGTATTGTCATTTTTCACAATATGGAGTCTTCCTGTCCATGAACAAGGGATATTCTTCCACCCCTCCAGTTCTCTTTTTATTTCTTGTAATAATGTTTCATAATTTTGTTTGAACAGATGCTTTGTGCTTCTGGTTAGGTTTACTCCTAAGTATTTAATCTTGTGATTAGCTATTGTGAAGGTTATTGTTTTTCTCAGCTCCAGTCCTGTATTCTCTTTTTTACTGTAGAGAAATCCATTTGATTTCTGTATGTTGATCTTGTATCCTGCCACTTTGCTGAATTGGTTTTGCTACTGGATAGAGTTTTGTTAAGGGGTTTTGCATCTATATTCATGAGAGACATTGGTCTGTAGTTTTCTTTCTTGATAATGTCTTTGCCTTGTTTTGGTATTAGGGTTATACTTCCTTCATAGAATGACTCTGGGAGTGTTCCTTCTTTTTAAATTTTTGGAAATAATTTAAGTAGAAGTGGCAATAGCTCATCTCTGAATGTTTGGTAATATTTAGCTGTGAAGCTGTCTGGTCCAGGACTTTTTTTATACGGAAGTATTTTTATGACCTGTTCAATTTCTTCTTTTGTGATGGGTCTGTTCAGGTGTTCTACATCGGTCCTCGTCAATTTGGGTAGGGCAAGAGTTTCAAGACATTTGTTCATTTTTTTCCTAAGTTTTCAAATTTGTCAGAGTATGGCTTTTCATAGTATTCTTATATTATTGATTTAATTTCATCTGGTTCTGTTGTGGTGTCACCTCGGTAATTTCTTCATTCAGTTATATGTGGTTTTTTGTTACACTTTCCAGTGGTTTGTCAATTATATTGGCCCTTCTGAAAAACCAGGTCATGAAAAAAAAAAAACAAAAAACCAGGTCATGGTCTTATTGATGGTTTCAGTCATTTTTCTGTTTTGTAACGCATTGATTTCAGCTCTTATTCTTATAATTTCTTTTCATCTAGAAGCTGTATGATTAGATTGTTGTTATTTTTCTTTTTAATCAGTGTTGAGTTAGATCATTGAATTATCTACTTTTTTCCTTTTTTATGTGTGTGCCTATTGCTGTGAACTTCCCCCTGAGGAATACCTTAGCCCTAGCTCAGAGATTTTGATGTGTTGTATTTTCATTTTCATTTGTTTCAAGGAAGTTTTTATTTTGTTATTTAGTTTATAACCCAGAGAGTTATTCTAGCAGAGTGTTACTCCATTTTCACATGGATGGTTTTGTAAGCTTTACCCTCTTGTGGTTAATTTCCAGTTTTATGGCATAGTTATCTGAGAAAGTACTTTGTATTATTTCAGTGTTTATTAATTAGTTGTGACCTAATATGTGATAGATTCTGGAGAATGTACCATGTGAATTGAGTTTTGGTTGGGTGCAGTACCCTGATACATCCACAAGGTCAGGTTTTCTGATTGTACTGGCATGGGGCATTTTGAGTCGGATGACCATATGATATATTACTCTGGAGATGAAAAAGTGAGGAAAAATGGAGTTGCTTTTA